GAATTGTGAGGCACAAGGCGCCTGGCCTGAGTTGGTTTGACTGAAATGGAGAAGCAAGAATAGCCTAGTGGCTTTTAGTCAGCTCATTGTCAGCCAAACTGATTTGTTCATCCTGTAATGGGCTAGCTGGGCTCCTTCACTGGTGGGGTTTCTTTGGGGTTCCCAGGGGGTAGTAAGAGAACCAGCCTCAATGCAGAAGCCTTTATCAAGTCTCTGCATATGTCACATTTGTGGTCCCCTTGGCCAGAGAAAGTCACATGGCCCAATGAGATAAGAGTAGGGGTTGATTATGGCCTCTTGTACTCCCACCAAAATGCACCTCTCAAAGAGGTGATCATCTTCTAGAAGGCTCAGTAATGGTCAATGTAGGTTTAAGCTATTGTTGTCTGAACGTGAAGATGTGGACCGCGAAATTCACATATGCGTATTTCTGATTTCAAAAGTTTTTAAAAGAAGAGAAGGGAGGCAGGGGAAGAGAGAAGAAAGAAGAAAAATCTTTTTCTTGGCATATGCAGTTTCCCTACCAATCTTACAAAGATTCTGGACCTATTTGATTGGCATGACTTCTCTGGTTAAACAGCCTCATATCTCCTGAACTCCCGCCCGGGTCAGATTTCTGCCTCTGGAGGATCCCAGCACAGTGTGTTCAGGCGCCCAGACAACAGAAGCCCAAGTTTCCATTCTTCACTGTGGTGAGTGCTTGGCCTGCTGGCCCAGCCTTGGAAAGACTGAAGATGCAGACCAGCAACGCCCCATTCTTAGGACATAATTAATGCGCTGTTAATTTTTTTTTCATCAACAAAGGATGACCAAAATACCGCATGATTTCCTTCAAAAATGTGACCCTCCCTTTCCTGTCTCGTTTTTCTTTTCCTGGATCTGAACTTGGTTTCCATTGGCCTCACGAAAACAGTTATTTCTGTTCATTTTCCTCAACTCGCCTCAGTGCCTTGAACTCAAGGAGTCCAGAAAAGTTAAAGCGAACTATTAGCAGAATTTTCAGGGGTTGCTTCTTTCCTTCAGTGGCTCTTCTCTAAAATGCTTCTCCTCTTTGTGAGGCCAGCGGCTTCCTCTGCGTCCTGGAGCAAACCTCATGGTGTTATAAAAAGCCAACTCACTAAATAATACCATAGGAATCTTAATGACTAGGGTCATTTGGCCAACAACATTACACAGTTTTTTCCTCTCCGAATTCAAGCATTTAAAATTACAAATATCCCATCCAATTCAGATTTAATTACCACTCTTCAAACTTGAAGAACTTTCTCTTTTTCAATTACGTAAAATTGGAAATACGAACTGCTGCTAAGAGATGGTCAATTGATTCCTTTGTTAAGGGGGAGCAGAAAAGTAGCTTAATTGTTATCTCTTCCTGATAAAATTTTGATGTGGACTAGCCATTTCTTGTCTACCCATGATTCAGCCACCCGGGTCAGTTTCTTCATGTTTATCATCAACCAAGAATAGAGATAACTGTGATTAGCCTTGAAGTCTGGCCATATGGACAGTAGTTTCCAGAACAAAACTACATCCATGTCTGAGCTCATGCAAGCTTTAACAAAAGCAGTGGGCAATTTAAGCAAGAACTGGAAATAGAAACTCTCATACTTAATAGTCACTGTCAACCCAAATGAACTGGGAGCTGCACCCCCCATCTGTTGGCGAGGAAAGGGGATTGGAGGGACCAGCACTTCTAGGGCTTCTAAATGATTCCACTCAAGACTTGTCCTCCCTACTACGCAAGGCTAGACTATCGTCAGCATATTTGGCCCTGCTTCAGCTGCTGAGAGAGCAGAGGAAGGAGCAAAAGCTTCTTTTGAGAGGGTCTCCTTGTTTGAGAGATGTCTCCTGAAATAATGATGATAACCATTCTCTGAAAATCTATTTCTGTATTCTTTGCAATCTAGTACATTGTTTTTACTTATTTTTTTAAAGTTTTTTTTTAATGTATTTATTTATACAAGCACTGGGTACAGTCAGAACTGCAGGAGGGTGAGAGAATTCACCAGAGCCAGAGCAGGGAACAGAACAGGCAGACTGATGAAATACACTGCTGAGGGGAGCAGCCGGCGGCAGGAGAGGTCTGCGCGCCATGTGGGACCCTCGCCGGCAGCTGGAGATCGAACCAGCACTCAACCACTGCGCCAACAGGGGAGGCCCTCTAGTACATTGTTTTAATGATCATCTTAGAAAGGAAAAAGACCTAGTCCCTCTTAAATGGAAACTACTCAGGACCCTATCCAGGTAGTTCTTACTATGAACCTGACCTCTGCATTACCCAGAAAGAAACTTTGCATGTGTGTGTTGTGCATGAGGACATGTGCTTACATTTGTAAGTGCATTGTCATATCACTCACATTCATTTGAAGGGGCTGCTCCTTGTCACCATTGGCAGTTCTGTTTCCATGGAGGGCTGAGGAATTGGGGTGAGGACTTTCATTTCCAGCCAGCTTCTGCTTGGTAAGCAAGAGGCCTGGGGTCCAGGGAAGGCTCCCAGTTCCACGTGGTAACAATATCCTTTCTATGGAGCACTGAAGTCTAAAGCCCTAAGGGTCATTTACCCTTTAAAAATGTGCTGTTTTGGGCCTCCCCGGTGGTGCAGCGGTTGAGCGCTGGGTTGCGAAGCTGCCCGCAACCTCTGCAGTGCCGGTTCGATCCCCGGCTGCTCCCCGGCCACCCGGAGGAGGGTCCCACATGGCGCGCAGACCTCTCCTGCCGCCCGCTGCTCCCCTCAACAGTGTACTTCGGTCCTTCTGCCTGTTCTGCTCCCCGCTCTGGCTCTGGTGAATTCTCTCACCCTCCCGCGCTTCTGACTGTCCCCAGTACTTGTATAAATAAATAAATAAAATCTTTTAAAAAAATGTGCTGTTTTGAGTGTGGAGTGAGTTGGTAAAGGTTTCTGTGCCAACTGAAAAATATCCTCCTTCATCTTGATGCTGAAATTCTGTTCATACTTTTTTTATTTCCACAATCTTTTTTTTAAATGGCCTTCACTACACACACCAACCCCATTATTCATGATCTTTACCATGACGAGGTTTTCTGGAGGGTGAACATTTCAAATCTTGCTTATACTTTTCTCCCAAAGCATATTTCTCTTGACCAAAATCTCGAATCAAGAGTCTAAAATGTAGGTCACTTTTTCTTTACTCCACCTATGGCAAAGTTGCCACAAATGGCCTGAGATTATATAAGAATGACATACAGGGCTGAGAAAAGAGCCGCCTGCCCTCAAGTCACTCACTTCTTTTCATTTAAGCTCACCTGGGTGAGCTTGAATGGCAAAAAAATAGATAATAAAATCACTAGGACAGACTCTTGTTATTTCACTGACAGGCAGGGACTGTCCAGTGACTGTGTGTACCCACTCCATGGTGCAGGAGAGAGAAGAGGAAGTGGTAAAAAAAACGGAACAGGAAACAGATGGGCGATGAGATCTCTCAAAACTCCAAAAATTCTGAAAAACCTCAGACCAGCCTGTTTGTTTGAAGATTAGGTCAAAAGTAAGATCTCTGCGTGCACCCACAGGAGGCCAGCTGAAGTGGGCACAGCAAGGGGCTCTTGTCACATGGGGCCCGAATCCAATGGTTGGAGTCCACCGGCACCAAGGGCAAGTGAGAAAACAAGACACTTAGTTCATTTGGCCCAAGAGGTGGGGAGAAGCTAACACTCCTGTAATGAGAGCTTGAACTCTGGCTTCGCAGAGGCAGCTGAAATCTCTGCAGTCATGTGGTTTGGGTTAAGAATACTTCTTCCTCTATTAAGAAAGAAGTATTTTCCTCTCGCCATCAGAGGAAAAGGACTCAATCTTCCACATCAGCCACCTGTAGGTTCCCGCAAGGGAAAGGAGACAGCGGACTCTGGAGTAAAGGACTGAGCGTTACTTTCAGTGACTCCAGTGCAGAAACATCGAAGTATCCAAATGATTTCATTGAAAATTCATTCCAGGGTGCAATTATTTGCCTCCTGTGCCCAAGTTCAAAGCTCTGGGAAAACTTGTCCTGGGGGATTGTTTCCCCAGGTTGCAAGAAGCATCCCTCCAGACTTGCATTTTCCTTTTCTTGGCTGTTTTGGCCAGGGGAGGCTGAGGGGGGTGGTGATTGTTCCCTAAACAGCAGAAAGCTGAACCTGCCTCCAGAAGAGGTGCTAAAATCTGACGGTCCAGCTGACCTCCTGACAAAACCTGTTAGGAGTGCCCAGTCATCCAAAATCCCAGGCACCCTTCCCCCTTCCAGGCAGCTGCTTTTCACTGGTGACCTTCCACTGTCTGTGGTCAGGAAGGGACCTTTGAACAGTCTCCAGAGCTGTGGTGATGCCGTTCGCAGGCCTGTGATTACTCCACTCTGTTTCTCCTCCTTCCCCCTCCCCCAGTGCCCTGCATCTCACAAGATCGCCCAGGCAGTTGGTTGTGTTTTTTTTATAACAAATTTTTTCTCTCTCCATTTTCCTATAGTATCCTAAACTTCAAGATGCATTTAGCACTAATCCTGATTTATTTAGGATTATTTATTATTTATTTATTTATTCCAATCAGGGAGGGGAAAAAAAACCTCAGGTATATACAAAATTTGGGTGTTTGTGAAAGGAGCTGGCAATCTCTGAGCAACGTATTTTCTTTAGAAAACTTTTAAATCCAAGCAACTTTTTTTCTAGTCTGAAAATATTTCTTGAAATGGGCCCTGCTCCTTAACAATTTCAGTTATTATTATTTCCCCCCAAGTGCATATCCTTTGAAGCTGCTTCCTGCATTAATCTGGATTTAATGTGGATTTAAACATTTACAATGGAAAATAATTTGGGTTAAAAAAATAATCTCCCTTGATAAAGCTAGAACCCTCCCTCCCATATACATGCACACATACATGCACACATACATGCACACACACACGCACACACACACACATAACTGTCACCATCTTTGACAGCCAGGAATGGAACGAGATTCTTGAATATGCATATTGGAAAAAAGGAAAAGTAAGACTAACAGGGTGTGTGTTGTATTTTATTTTTGTCAGCTGTTATGACTGACTTGAGTTGAGTGATAGCCAGGGTCTTGACTTGTTGTTTGGTTGAATTCATCATCACTTGGAACATATGAACAGTTACTGGGTGCCCAGCATGTGCTAAAAATAGCTTCCCCTGGAGTGAGAGAAGGCTGTCTCTCAGAGGTAGCAACTTGCCTCCATCACTCATAGAGGGGTTTCTCAGTAACTAACAAGTTCCATACCCCTTCTCACCATCCTTTCCAATCTTGTATTCTTCAGCCTATGGAGGGGTAGAACACTGCAAAAAGAAAGTTCACATTTCTTTGGGTAGATCCCTAATAAGGCCAGTGTTATCAAGGGAATTCTTCCAGGATTTGACTCAAGGAGGATGTGGGGATTAGAATATTTTCTTGGGAATTTAAAAGAATTCAGATTAGACCTTCAGGTCAGCTTTGTCAGACCGCAACACTTAGGGCAAACCACAAAGTGTTGGGATGTCTTGGGGACTTTGAAAGTGAAGCCTAGCTGAATCCAAGTATTGGAAAATGATAAGACATAGGTACCATCACTTCCTATTCCCTTACCCATAGCAGACATCACTAATCAATCACAGCATCCTTTCCCACTGAGCCAGCAGGCAGCTCCTGTACCCTCCTCCACACAGTGCCATGGGAGCCACTTGCAGTGAATCTAATTTAAAATACATATTAAAAGTTATTTGCCATTCCCACTGGGACCTGTATTTGGGAGTCTCTTGGCTGCTCTCCTGGCTTTTAGCATTCAGCCCATCTTGTGCACTAGGATCCTGCCTTTGTTCTTGTCAATGATACCATGATACTGGGAACAATCTCAGAAAGACCATCAGGACCAATATAAGAGCATGGTCCCTGCTATAGCTTTTACAATCACCAGTACTAACCAGAAAAAATTAAAAAACCTTTGCTCAGAATAAGGCCCCCCCATTCCTGTTCCTGAGCTGCCACAAAGTCTTACCTTCCCAGAAAATACCTCAGTCACTTGCACCGGTATATGAGGGTCGGGGGGAGGTCGCTGGATAATTTTCTAATCTCTTTGCTCTCGAACCAATGGTCAGAGTCAGAGCATATCTCACAGTTCTTCAAGGCTTTCCTCAGCACACTTCTGACCTGCTAAATTCATTGTAGAAAATTTAGAAAACACAGCTATGTGGAGCACTAGGAAATCAAATTGACATATTTCCATTAGGAAACACATATGGATTTATATGCTTCTAACTCCTTATGAACTATTTGTTTACTATTGTAAAACATATACCTTCACTTAAAGTAGGTAAATTTTATACTTCAGGCATATAAATTATACCTCAATAAATTGATCATATAGCTATGTATTATACATATATATATTATCCATCTGAATTTTATATGAATTTTAACCAAAAATGCAGGTTTCATGTTTTATGTTGAAAAGTCTATAAACTTTGTTTTCTGTAAACTTTTAGATTCTAAAATCTGTAGTTGAACCACCTTAAGGCATGTATATTTCCAGCATCCCAAAGATACCTCAATGAGCTTTTCAAACATCTTACCAGTTTTATTGAGATATAATTTACCTGTATGCAATTCATCCATTTAAAGTGTACATTGTAATGGTTTTCAGTGTCTTCACAGGTTGTGCATCCATCACCATATTCAATCTTAAAACAATTTCATCTTCCCAAAATGGAACCCTATGCCCACTGGCATCATTCCCATCCTCTTTCCCACCAGCCACCCTCATATAGACCTAGGCAACTACTAATCTGCTTCTTCACTCTATGAATTTTCATGTTATGGCCACTTCAGGGAAATGGAATCGCTCCATTTGTGGTCTTCTATGACTGCCTTCTTTCACTCAGCACACTTTTAAGAGTCATCCCTAGGCTGTAGCATACCTTTGTTCCTTTTTATTGCCAAATAGTATTCTATTCTCTTTGCCCATCTCTTTTGAGACTTTCTATTTTGTGCTTGTTTTAACAATATCAATTTCAGTACTTTCTGAATTGAGTGGTGCTCACATCTGCCATCTGCAATTCCTTTAGTTGTCCAGTGTTGCCTTTTCATGGGATTCTACTGAATTTACAAAGAAATCCAATTCAGTTCAACAGATACATATTGAGGGTGGAAATGTGCAAAGTTCTTCTTAGCTAAAAAGTTTTGATGACACAGATGAATTGACACAGCCTCTGTCAACCTTTTTGCCTCAAATCATGAGAGCAAATCAAATTTTTGGGGCCACTCTGAGACAATTAGCTTTTCACTAATCTTTTAATTTACATTATTTGGAAGTAGATGTGTCATTATTTTTTAAGAGTTTATTTCAGGTTTTTATTTTTATATCATACTATTCCCTAAGCCACCTTTAAATAGGAAGTCTGGGTCCTATTTCCTTTCTAGTATACTACTATTAGAAGTAATAGCAGCAGGGCCTCCCTGGTGGCACAGGCAGTTGAGTGCAGCGCTGTGAAGCTGTCTGCAGCCTGTGCAGTGCAGGTTCAATCCTGGCCGGCTGTGGAGATACCCACATGGCACGGCAGACTTCTCCTGTCTCCCCTGCTGCTTCCCTCAGTGGTGTATTTCGGTCAGTCTGCCTGTCTGTTCCCTGCTCTGTCTCTGGTGAATCCTCTCACCCTCCCGCACATCTGGCCTGTGCCCTGGTTCTTATATGCATGAATAAATAAATCTTTTTTAAAAACAGAAGTAATAACAGCAGCTTCCATTTACTGTGTATTTATGTGATTGTATCTGCAACATAGTCCTGTGAAACACTTGCTATTTTTAATTTTTGATGGGGAAACTGAGGTTCAGGGTGATAAAGCAACTTCTGGAGATCACTCATGTGTATCACACCATGTCAACCCCCGCTGCCTGCAGGACACTCATAGCAGCCAGTAGGCGATATTCTCCACCTGCCATATTGGCTGGCAGCTCAACATCTTAGACTGGGTGACCTGAACTAGTTTTGGGGAGTGAAGGATAAAGTCAAAGGGTCTCCAACCTTCTTATAGTGGCATTTGTGGTTTTTTCCATTCCATTATTCTCTTGACAGTGATGGAAAACATAACTCCCAAAAGAATTCCTTTGCTTGGCACAAGAAATCATTGAATGTCATCTTTGGAATGTACCATTTTGGAATCAAACTTTAGAAAATGCCCTTAGGGAATAGCAAATGAGGAACCTCTCAATCCCCAAAAGTGCCATCTGATAGAACAGCATGACAAATGGCAGGATTTGAGAACTCAGACCTCCCATCTGGGGCCTCTAGAACTGTCCAACTACTTTCCTAAGACACTGCCAGTACAGTGCTGTCATCTTCAACAATAAGGCAGGTTACATCTGTGAATCTACATATCACAATGAAGACACTCAATAAATATTAAATAATAATTATTGTCTCTCTCACATTCGCTGACAGGATAAAACCTCAGTAAAGAGCCTTTAAGGTCTAATTACCTCGTAGGCATTGAAACCAAACTGCTAGTTGAAAAATTAATTGTGAGCCGTCGTAGATGGAATAGTAGGAAGTTGTTTTGAGCAGCGGTGTCACTCTGAAGCTCCACATTCGATGTGGAGCAATAAACACCAACGCAGTGTGCTGAAATGACTGAGCAAGAGGAGACTCGATGTGCAGCTGGTACTGAACTTGCATTAACTTACTGATTACTGTTGAGGGAGTGACCCACAGACTCAATTAATAAACGGAAGGTGCCATTAGGGCTATTTAGGACAATAGCACTGGCAACACAAGACAAATGAAGGGCCAAAATATGAATAACAACAACCACAATAGCACCAGCAATGAGCCAGGTCCTATTTCAATATATTATCTCATTTAATCCCCACTATTAATGGTGAGGTAAATATCTTCATTTTTCTTTTTTTTTTTTATTTATTTGTTTGTTTGTTTGTTTTTTGTTTATATACGCACTGGGTACAGTCAGAAGCGTGGGAGGGTGAGAGAATTCACCAGAGCCAGAGCGGGGAGCAGAGCAGGCAGAAGGACCGAAGTACACTGCTGAGGGGAGCAGCGGGCGGCAGGAGAGGTCTGCGCGCCAAATATCTTCATTTTTCAAATGAGAAAAGGGAGGCACAGAGAAGTTAAGTAACCTCCCCACTGTCACACCGAAGTTAAAATACCATTTGTAAAAATCCCAGGCATATTCACTATACCAATCCTGTCCCTCCTAAGAGCTCACTGAGTTTCCAGGACCTTAAAGCAATATCCAGAGATTATGTAGGCTATCATTTTCAAACTGCTTCACGGAACTAAGAAAGTTGCTTCAGAAGTTGTACCAACAGTCAACCATTTGTGCCAAATAGGGATGAGTTCAGCTCCCTGGGGAAATACATGCTGCTTGAACCTGCTTCGCATACTGGATTTCCACATACCATTTTATTTTTAAACTGAAGAGAGAAAGAGTGTTCCACTGGTATAGGTCAGGGGCCAGTAAACTTTTTCTGTACAGAGCCAGAGAGTAAATATGATAGGTTTTGTGGGCCACACTGTCTCTGTCGCAACAAGTCAACTATGCTTTATGGGGCAACAACCACTTTGGGCAGCATGTAAATGATTGAGCATGGCTGTGTCTCAATAAAACTTTCTTTATGAAAGTAGGTGGTGGGCTACAGTTTGCTAAACACTGCTTGAGGTAGCCCCTGTGGTCAAATTGAGTTTGCCTACACTTTCTAAACAGAGATTATCTTACTGACAAAGAGAAGGGATCTTGTCCAAGAACCCCATATTTATTAATGCCCATCATCAGAAAACCCAGTTTAAGAGAAAGGAAAGGCATGTGTACTGAATGTGAATTTTGTATTCAGGATTATACTAACAATTCTCCATTTGAATGTATCCTCCTTGTGGCCATAAAAGATGAGTGGCAGCACCCCTTTTGACAAAGAAGAAAACTGAGGCTTAAATAGGTGAAAATAGTAAAACTGATTTAGGCCAAAATCTCAGCATATTGATATGACTTCAAGTATTTTCTCTGTCCAGTTATATATAGGTAGGAAGGTCATTGAAAATTCATCCTCAGTCAATTCTTCTCTAGGAAAAACCATTCAAGTTCACTTCATAACCTCACTTTAATAACCACACCCCCTACCCCCATGCTTCGCTGTCTCTGTTAGAGTCTTAAAGACTAGTATTACCATTTCTATAGGAGTTTTCCCCGGACATAACACAAGAGGAGAATAATCTTGACATTTCGGTAAGCTCTTCTCCCATGTCTGCTTTCTAGACATTTGTTGTCTCGATCTGCAGGCTGCTTTGGGGAGTGTGTATTAGCTGGTGATCTGCCGTGATCCATACGTCTTTCATAAAGATTATTTTTATCTCTATCCTTTGCTGCCTACCTCCAGTTGAGTCCTCTTGAGTTCACACTAAACTGGGAAATTTTGGAATTCTCAGTCCTCCATCACCTCCTGTTCTTCAGATAGTTAATGGCATTACTTGCTGGATTATATGTCACCAGTTGACAAATCTGATTTCTTCCGCCTGCGTGGGATAGGTTGAAAATCAGAGGCTTGAGATATTACTGATGATTAGAATACTCAGTCTCTTCCAGAACCCACATTCACAATCTGTTTTTACATTTGCCAAAATGCCTTGGAATGGAGGCACCTCTCACATCTATTTTTCATTCATTCTGGATTGGTTTCCTTTCAAGAGCCATTCAACCCCAGTCAACTGGCAATGGGAGGTTGGTGCCATCCCAGGAGTTGGTGATAACATCACCTCTAGTGGCATTCAGTTCCAGAAAAATTCACATCCAGCGCCACCACAACCCCATCCACAACTGAATGGTTGCCCAGCTGCAGGTGAAACGGAAGAGAAATCCATCACATGTGGAAAACTCAGTCATCAATAAGCAGCTCTGCAGGCTTTTCAGTTGGGGACCAACCACAGAACCGGTGCTCCATCAACAATCAAACAGTCGTTAACTGTGATCAGCCACTTCCATCACCCCTGAGACTGGCAGGTTTCCAATAAAGCCAATCGCCCCCTCCCCTAGGGTAAGGTCATCAGCAGGAGGCAGGCATTGTCGTTTAGCCCAGCAATTTGACAACAGTGTTAGCTTACACTCTATTAGCCAGCCACTACTCCCTGACCCCTGACCCTGACATTGACCTCAGATGGCCCTCTCTGAGGTAGACTCTGATGGGTCGAGGTAGCCCGCCCTGCTGGTTAACATGAGAGAAGGTCCATCAGGACCAAGCAGGGCTCTCTGGTCACCCCTGCTCCCCACAGGAGGTTTAAGGCTTAGCATACAGAAATAAGCCAGAGTTGAACCCAAGATGGCAAAGGTGAAAGTTCAGAAGCATATCCATCAGCAGCCTGTCACCCAAGGACGATGTAAGAACTATGGCAGCTCTCAGCACAGGGAGAGCCGTTGTCTCCAGACAGTTCTGCTCCTTAATGGAAAAGACATATCAAAATATGGCTTACAAAATACAAAATAATGGACTGAGATGTACATTATATGCGGGTGTGAGATTGCGATGTACTTTACTGTAGAGGAATTAGATTGAAGTGTTATGCCAGGGTAGTTAGGTTGAAATATGGATTATCCTAGGAATGTGAGCTTGAGATGTGCTTTATAACACAGTTGTTAAATTAAGATGTGCTCTTCAGTGCAGGCATTAGCTTGAGATGTGCATTATAGCAAAATTGTGAGGGGAAGATGTGTCTTCCACTTTGGGAGGGGTTTAGGAGCAAGGAAAACACCTCGTATGGAAGATTATTCAAGGGAACAGGGCATCTTTTGCACTGCTGAATTTCAGGGGATTGTAGAGAGTGTGAAATATATATCTATATATATTTTTTTTTTTCATTCTTCCTTCTTCTTTCTCCCCAGCCAAACAACCTGCCACTTTCCCCACTTTTCCTGTTAGGGACTTAAAGGCCTCCCCCATCAATAAAAACATTAGCTCACTAAACAGCCTGATGGCTTCTCCTTCCCCGGCTTAACCCTTCGGGAGCTGGGGTTTCCTTTGGATTTGTAAAGATATTGATCCCAGATAATGTTTGCCTTTCTAAGTCTCTCTTCCCTGGACTTGATGGATAGGTTCAGGGCTATGTCTCGGCAGCCAACTCACCGCAGCTACCCAGGGAGAGGGGAAGGAAAAGCAAGGCGAGGCCTCAGTAGCCATCACCGTGGGCAGGCGCTCCCTGGGATGGGCCGGCAGGGAGAAATGCCTGGGCCACAGACACTCTCCATCAGCAGCAGATTTCACTTTCGATTTTCCTCATTCTTGTCCTGATCCCTCTACCGGTATTTCTTCAGTTCAACTTAGAGTTTTGAATAATTTCTAATTAATATCAGATGCTATCTTGAGGTTAGCCACCCTGTGTTAAATTTTTTCGGTTCTCCTCTTCCATTTCAAAAATGGGCTTTGCGACAGCTGGGTCTTTTGCGTGTGTGCCTGGCCCAGCAGGGAGCAACTTTAATAAATCCTCACCCGACGTACAAATCTTACCCAAGAAAAATAAGCCAAGAGGAATGAAGGTCCTCTCGCTCTTTAGCCACTTGGCTAAGCAAAGCTTCACCAAATGTCTCCCCTTCAAAGTGTTTTGTCCTATCTTCTCTTCCATAGCCCAGAAGATATAAATTACAGCTGCCAGAAGTCTAGCCAAGCGCAATTGAATGGTGTCCAGCTTTGCCGGAATCAGAGAGGTGAGTTCCAGCTTTCTTGTTTCTCAGTGAAAGAAAATGCTATACCAGGTGAGCTAATGCAGTCCAAAAGACTAGCCCACCAGACAAGGGCTCCAAACAAAACCAAGCAGTTCAAAGGAAATTGCAGTGTTACCAGACACCTCTGCATTGTGCTCGGAGGTTCCAGGAAAGAGGCAAGCAGGCATTTTTCTGTGTGCGTGTTGTCGGGTCCAACTTCTCTGGATAGAAAAGCCGGTTTGCTACACAACAACCGTACTCACCTTCCCTGGCTAAACTTTCAATGGGCCAAACACAAAGAATGTGACAGAACTATTCTGGGCAGGTAAAAAAGCAGTCCTGCCGCCCCCACCCTCCCCCCACCCCTTTCCCTTAACTCCCCACCCCATGTCTTAGCCAACTCTGGTCTTTTGTGGGCATTCCCACTCTCTGTCTGATCATTGCCTGCGTAAGCGCTCTAGACGTTTCCCTTACTCTCCAGTCTGGTGCGTTCTTTTCTCTTCTTAGTGTCCAGTCCGGCCTCATTTTCTGACATCACATTCTCCTTAAAAATAGGCTTTGAGAGCTATTTCTATCCACTGTCAAGGGATCTGTCCAGCCAGACTCCCATGGGATGTAGGAATGAGTTTAAAACCAATCCTGGAGAAGATAGAAAAGCAGAGGTTGGCTTATTCCCAGACTTCATTTTTAAACAAATCTTCTTCTGGGTCAAGTGAGATATTTGAGGCCCCTCCCTAAAAAAGGGATTACAAGATGGTTCTCTTGAAACACCACCTAAAACCCCACTGCAAAGAGGAGACCAAACAGCATCATAGCAGAGTCATGCCAACCTGGTGGTGAGGTGCAGGTTTGGCATCAGTCCCATGTTCCACTTTCACTTGATTGCTCTGTGAATTTGGGGAAATCACTTGTCTCTTCTGAACCTCAGTTTCTCCATCCATAAGATGAGATTGTTGGTCGTATCAACCTTGCAGGGATATTATAAAGATCAGTCAGGCTATGCATGTAAAATACTTGGTCTTGGCCCTGCCACAGGGAAATCCTTATTTTGTCGTAATTGTATCCTCTCATTTCCATCCCAACAACCAGATGGAACAGGGTGACAGTTCACCATGGCCTCCTGAGACACTGACTTACCACACAGCACACAGACCCTCCTATGCTCCTTAACATGTCTGGTTTCAGCAGCACACCACACTGTATCTCTTTGCCTCACTCTTTTAAGAGACTACTATTTATGAGGATTTTTTTCTGTACAGGAAGAAGGGTTGCCCTGCCAATGAGGAGAGAGGCAGATTAAAAGGGCCTCAGTGATGGAATATAATCCCCCCTCTGTACTGACCAGTAACTAGCCATGATTGTATTTCAAAGGTAATAGTTCATCTCCACCGTGGGTATTGGCGTGCAGTCACCAATAGGGCCTAATGTGATCCGACAGGCCTGATTTCTCTAGATATATTAAAACAACATGCCCAGTGCTGATGGCTCCAAGGTCCCGACATTTAACAAGGACGTATGACGTAAGGCAACCTGCCCAGGAGAGCAAGCAGGGCAGAGGGCCAGAGGGACAAGGTCATCAGCTAATGAAGTGGTCAGCATTGAGTTTCTGTCACTCAGCTGGTTAGGAGGAAACCGAGAGCGAAGTCAAAGAAAATGGGAACATTTAAGAAACAGAGAAGGATCACCATTGAGCTAAAGCTCCAAGGTGAACTGATGTCATCAAAGAGGGGGTAGATGACAAAACACAGCCCTTTGAGCCTTCACGGTGGTCTTGTTCAGTTTTACCTGCTGAGCACAGATGGTCTGAAAAACAATGACTATGTACCAATCCCAAGTTAAAGTGAAAATGAATGGGCAACACACCGGCTTGCTCTTTGACTAAGATCAGTTCTAAATATTCTGTAAGTAAATGTGATCAAGAACCTGAACTTGGAAGCAGATTCCAGACTGATAGTCTATTGTGTTCCGGGTGTGCAGCCCTCTGAATTTCAGGTCAATATCTGGAAAATGGATAATGACTTGTACCTACCTCCAAGAGAGGTCAGTAGAGTTAAGTGAGAAAATTCATGGAAGAAGCTGCGTGTGATGTTAGCATGAAGGAATCTTTCACATGTCAGAGTTATTATTCCATATGCTCTCATCTTAGAGGGAGTGTCAGGTTTTATGAAAAATAGATAAGAAGTCCTGTGTTGTTGAGTAGGAACATGGTCCCACCAGCTTCCCATTGGTAGAGCTCTTCAAACTTTGGAGTATATTCAAGCAACATTTAAGAAAACTACTGAGTGCCCAGTTCTGTGCTAGGTAATTATATCTTGTTTTTTGTCAATAGTAGTGTATTATACATCTTGTCCAAAAAGAATATACTCTCTCGGTGAATTATAGCTTCATACGTTCCTTTTCAGTGACTGTAATATATCCCAGCATTAGATGTGCCAGCGTTTATTAAACCGGTCCCCTACAGATGGGCAGTAATATTATAAATGCTACTCTAGTGAAAATCTCTGTGCTTGGGGAACCTGTGCAGTTGTCTCCTTAGGATAAATTCCCACAAGTTGTAATTGCTGGGGAAAGCTGTCCCTTTCAGCCAGATGTTAAGAGGGATTCCCATGGAGCAGTGAAGGAATGCACGGGCAGTGGCTGCCCGAGTCCCCTCAATCCTAGGGACCTGTGACGATTCCTGGACTCCTCATCCATTTCTTCACAGGGAGATGATAGTCAGAGAAGGTGAATATTTATATCCTTGAGATTAAACATCATGCCATGTGGTTCCAGAACTAGATGTCCGTTTTCCTTTACTTCCCCACCTCCTACTCTTCTTGCCCTGGCTTCTAGGTCAGTTGTACGTCAGATACGTCAGATACGTTAGATACGTCAGAGAGCCCACTCGGCAGTGCTCTTCATCCCCCGACACTCCCACCCTCAGCCGGCTCTTTCCATTTTCTCTTGACTGTGTTTTCGTTTTGCTTGCTTTTCTCCATATGGGGCCCAAAGGCTGATTACTCCTTTGGGTAAGAGTCGGCACTGACTAGCCAAGCAGTCAGTTGAGTGGAGTGATTACATTGCAGTGTTTTAATTTTCCTTTGGACTAATTCTCATAAGCTTTACTGAGAAAATCTCCCATTAGATGTAGTCATTTAATTTTAAGAACAGTTGGAAGAGGAAGATGAGGTAAGATGACAGATGGAGGAATGCAGATGTGTGTCTTAGAGAGACTCAAAGCCCACTGAGGATTTGGCATCCAGTAAAGCATAATGTCAGCATCCACTGCTTATGGCCATGGGCTTGAGAAATTTTCTAGAAATCATTAAAATACAGGGATCTTCTCCAGTCATATTCATTTTATCTCTAAAATCATGTCAACTAAAGAACTCGATACCCTCTACACACACCCAAAGTCCAGCAAACACAAAAACAAAATGCAAGGCGCTTGTAGAAGGGCAAAAAGCACAATTCTCCTGTTAGAACGTCCCTTTGGTTACATTCTCACAAAGATAACTTTTAATTCTGTCTTACACTGCTTTTCTCCTGACAGATTTTCTAGACTTCCTAATTTGGCGTTTGTATAATTCAACCTCTACCATTGCTTTGGGACCACAGTTATTATTTTAATTATAATTTAGAGCTACCTAATATACCCAGAGGTCACTGGGCACCTTAAAGAAATAAATAAAAACAACTTGCCGTTTTTAAAAGCAGCATGTTTATTTGAAAGTCCCATGAGCCACTCAACTAAGACATCATAAACCTTCAAATAAACTAAAACAGAAACAAAATAAAATGTCCAGACTTAATCTCCTTAGAAGGCAGGCAGGAGAAGGTTGTAGCTCCCTAAACACTGTCCTGAGAATGCTCAGAATGACTTTATGACGGAGTCCCGGAACCCCAGCATATGTCTTAACAGCCACACTCCATGTTGCAATCTGCATAGTCCTCATCCTAGGTTTATAATCCTGGAGCCCTGTGTAATGTTTCAGTCAATGAGAGGTCAGTCTAGCAAAGCATTTGGTACAGCAGAAGAAAAGGACATGTCAGAAGCTTGGAAATGCCTCCCCACTGACTCCTGCACCCAGATGGCTTTGCATGACTTTCTCCAGTGGAGGTGTCAATAAAGCAGATGCAGGCCTCATTAGCTCCGGTAGTTTAAATGTAGAATTGCTGAAATATCAAAATCTAGTGATTTTATATTTGGAAGGCTAAGGAAATTTCAAAACAGTTCCATAATGTTCCTACATGTGAGTTTCCATAACAGAAAACAGTAAAATCATTTTCAAACCATTTACTGCTAGTATTCTCCATGTAATCAGAACTGTTATGGTTTGTTAAGCAACAGAATTATCTAGTGGGCAGGAGGTTTATGCTGCTCCAAGGCCTTCTAACTACACAAGTATGCAAATCAGTAAGTACTATAGAATCCGCTGCACAGCCATAGTCAGGATTTCCAGAGGAAGCGTCTATTTTCTCCACCCCTAAAATTGTCTTAAGTATTTTGGGGTGCTTTTCTTTGGGACTCAAAGAACTGAAATGTCAAGTTTGGGCTACTCAGAGTTCTGAGAACAAGGCAGAGAAAGTTGTCCTGGGAGTGACATAAAAGCAGACTTCCAGAGATCTTCTTCCTTGCCATAGAAGAAATAAGAACAATAAGGAAAAAAGAAAGAGAAAGGAAATTGATCTCCAGAGGGACAAATTCCACTGGTGCATGGGCTAAGCAGAAGATAGAAATAAGTGAAATGGCTCTGGAGTAAGGTAAGAGGGAAAGATGGCGAGTATGGTAAACAATGCCCAGCCCCCAGGATAGGTGATTCTCAACTCCAGCTGATGATTCCCATATAATGACACCTTTCAGTTTTTTCAAAAGAAGCCAACATTTTTTATTTTACTTAAAATATCTCAAGTGTTCAGTGTTGGCTATCAGTTTGATTTGAACACCAACACAACACAGGAACCAAATAAAAGATTATCCATGCCACATTCAGCTCATGGGTTACAAGTTTATAAATTATATAAGACAGAGTAAGCAGTTTAATTTAGTTTGGAACTAAAAATTGCAACAGGTTCTGAAGCATGGAATGGATAATTTATATTAAAGAGCTCTTTTTCAGGTAATAGAGAGTGTTACAAATCTTGATAGTAATTCTATCTATAAAAGAAAATACATATTTTTTTCTCTCTCACTCCACCTAATGCCCTCAAGTCTAAAATAACTTTTAATCTGTTTCATTCTTTCTGAGTCTCTTTGTGTTGGAATTGAATGAACTCTAGATGTGTGAAGTAGACACATGCTTACCATCTCTCTGCCTTCTGAGATGGGGATAAACTGACACACAGAAAGTATTTGTAGAGGGTGAAATGCTGTTTGGAGCCTATTTGCAAGATTTCTTGGATATATTATAAACCACTTATTGGTTATTTAAGGTCTTATCCTTATAGCATTCTTGTCACTTCACATTAAAAATAATGCTATTCAGAGGGTGTATCAGTCAGTTTTTACTAAGTAATGCAGCAATAATGAAGATATCTGAAGTCTCTTACAAGTGGTTGACAACCAAGATAGATGTTTCACGTACATAGGTGTTGATGGTTTTTCTCCACTATTTCATCTTTATTCTGCACCCTGGGCTGAAGAAGCATCTATCTGCTGCCTGGCTTCAGAACAGTCATGTGCTAGAAAGGAGACAAGCAACCACATGATAATTTTCAAAGTTTCTTCTCAAAACTGACATATATCACTTCCTTTTACTTTTTCTTAATAGCCAAAGCAAATTTCCTGGACAAGCCTAATGCTGATGAGGCAGAAGTACTGCCCTCTCCCAGGAATGACATTTAGGAACGATAAAACAGTCTCCCGCAGAGGGTACACCTTCAGGGGCTTTGAAAGGAGAAAATAATGGGGAAGCTCCCCAGAAACTACTGTTGGAGAAGTAAGCTCAGGCTCCATTCTGACCGTGGTCTGAACCTTTGAGGTAATTTAAGCCCTGAGTGATTAAAAGCAAGGTATGTGGTGTCAGACTTCCTAGGTTCAAATCCAGGCGCTCTAGTTTTTTAGTGGTAAGACCTTGGATATGTTCCTAAACTTTCTTGTGTCTCATGCAGTCACACCTACCTCAAAGGGCTACTGGGAGGATTCCATGAATGATGATACATATTAAGGGGAGGGAGGGAATATTTCAAACAGTGTTTGGCACTTAATAAATTATTGACTATTAATACAGTGGTGAAAATTAGAAAGCTGTCAGCTCAAATGTATCTCACAAACCTTCTGAATAGGACCAAAACCCCTATGACATAATGGCCAGATTATTCCAGCTATTTTCCACCTTAAGAATCCCATATCAATCCCATATTTCTAAGAGGACTAGAACCTTAAGTCTTGGTCAACTAATATCTCATTGGGAACTCTTCAGAGCAGATTCCAGCAGGATTGTAGGGCGGTGAGATAGGGAAAACAGAATTTAGGGGACAAGGACCCCCAAAATGACCTTTCCACAACTGATTGTCTTGCCCAGAGCTACTTTGACTAAACCAGAGATTCTCATCCTTAGAGTCCCGGGGAGATCCCAGGGACTCAGGAGCTGGACCAGTGACATCTGGATCTTTGTGGTTTGGATGCAGGACTCTGAACGTCTTACAGCTCTCCAGGGGCTTCCTACTTAAAATGAAGCAGGTCAACCCTCGCGCTACTTTCTACTCAGAGTGCTGTTTGCCTCCTTCTTGTTCCAAATTGTGCCCCAGCATGGACCTGCATTCACCTGTTTCTCTAGCTCTCCAGGTGAACTGCCCAGAAGAGGAACCCTTGCTTGACAAAAGAGAGAGAGATAGGGCCAAAGTCAGGCATTTGTCTTTTCTCCCCTCCTGATTGATTACTTTATACAATAATAAAACTTTTAAAAGGTTGAACCTGAACCGAGGCTGTGACTGTGACACAATTAATCAAACTCTTGAAGAATCAGGTTACATTACGCGCGTCAAGCATTGATCCACTTCACTAAAAGTTGGCCTGAAATACAACCTAGACACAAGATATTGGATCATACGAAATGGCCAGGGTGTCATCCATTGCTTCACATCCCTGTGCACCAGGTGGACCAGCAGCTGACCAGTCCATAAAGCAAGACAAACCCTAATACATCAGGGAGGATGTCTTCGGTCCCCATGCTGACCCTGGGAATAGAATACAGAGAAAAGGATATTGCTAAACCTGCTACTACTGTGCCCAGATAATAACAGTACACTTCAGCCACCAGGCTCCAGCCTCTCTACCTGTTTTTGAATCGATCACAAACAATCCCTGGCACTGTAAACTCTTCCCCATTCTGGATCATCTGGAAATCTAGGGTTTAATAAGACCACCTCACATGCATGTGCCAAGCCCATAACAATTGAGCATCTCTGTGCAGTGATTTCTGGTGAGCCAAACACATGAGTGTCTCCAGGCTCATCTGAGCCTCACAGCAGCATCAGGAGGCAGATTGGGAGCCAGGAGTCATGAACCCCATTTCAAGGAAGAAGTAGCCTGCTGGGGCAGTAATGTGAGTTGCTACAATCATGGAACTCAGATCTTGTGGCTTTCAGCAACTTGAAGGAAACATGGGAGACCACAGAGAAATCATAGCTTGCCAGGTTCCTGGAAAAATGGCATTATAGGCAAAGCTCCCCTGATGCCTGTCCTCTTCCCCTTCACCTGCTTTCCCATGCCCTCCAAGGGTCTCTCCCACCTTGCTGTCCCGTGCCGTCAGCCCACCATCCCACTAACATCTCCAGATCTAGAATATCTGTATGACCCTCTTGAAACTGCCTTGGTCTTAGCTGGCCCAGAGGAAAGACATATATGCTTAAAGCTGAGCTCCTCCATGAGATCTAGCAGTGCGATCTTGGGCAAGTTACAGTGTGCTTTTGAGTTTCCGCCTCTGGTGACCAGATTATTACTAGGATCTACTACTTAGTGCTGTTTGGAAGATCGTATGAGTCATATTATGTGAGTGCATAAAGTACACCAGCCCATGTCTGGCATTTGTTAGGCTCTCAAGAAAGGGCAGTTGTTTTAGAAATTAGTTATATTGAGTTATTAATTACATATAATAGGTATAGTAACTAGCATCTTTCAAGCCCTCCTCTATAATGCTGTATATTCTAAGTACTTCTCATGGGCTCTTTCATTGATTTCTCACGGTATCCCTTTAAAGCAGGTACTATTGTTTCCCCGCCTTACAGATGTAGGAGCTGAGATGCAGACAGGATCAGTAGAGCCAGCAAAGATTAGATCATGGATGTGAGCAAGGTGGTAAGTCCAGAACCAGAATGGGAATTCCAGATGAGAATTCTCATTCTTAAGAAGGAGTATCTTTGAATTCCAGATGAGAATTCTCATTCTTAAGAAGGAGTATCTTTGAATAAAGAAATAGCTTAAACATACAGTACTTACATGGAAAGGAGTGAATCCTTGATGGTGGAACATTAGCTGTTTTTGTCAAGAGGATAGACAAGCAGTAAGAAAGAGGGCTTTCTAGGTGGTGCTAAAATTATACAAAGAATATATATACACATGTTTAATTGAAGAAAAAAGTCACTAGAAAATGTTAACAGTGATATTTTTAATAGCAAAGAACTCTGGAGAGGATAGCAGGACCTCTAATTTTCATTTTGTTCCTTATTACTTGAATTTTCAAACCTCACTCTGCAAATTGGTTTTGTTTTGCGCAAACAGGGTTTATCGGAACATTAAGAGTACTGGTTTGTTATTCATTTTCTTCCTTACACACCTCACATTAAAAATAATAATGAATGTAATGTTTGAAAATTTTACCATAAAGCCAACCCCTTGCTCCACTCCACTGTCACATCACGCCCTCAAGCTGCTTATCATCTCAAGACAGAGATAAGATCCCAGGGAAGAAAGAATTGGAGCGCCCAGCAGTCCAGTTATAATTAAGTGCCTGAGAATTCAGAGCCGTCTCTTGAGACCGTAGGAGCGCAGCTCTCTTCCCAAACATGGTATTTTCCCTCATGTTTTTTTTTCCCCTCCACCAGAAATTTTCCACTTTAATTATGTGGGTTAGGTTAGAGGACTTCACCTTCAGAAAGTTAAATGCGAAAACAGCTAATCCCTTCCATAAGACACATTTCTGGGAAAGCCCAAAGATAAATGTTTACAGCCCGTGCTGGGAGAATGGAACCCAGTGAAATTGGAAATGATTTAAGCATGATGTGCCCATGCCCGAAGAAACAATTTAGGGAGAGCTCTAGCCTCTACATTCTGGAATTCTGGCCTGCGTTCTCACAAAGACTGGAATCGCTGGCAAGGCTCATAGGTTAGATTTTCCCCCCCTTTTCCTGGTTTTGCCTTCAACATGAGGAGGATGGTAATTAAAACCATACTTAAAATATTAAGTCTACTACCTAAAGGAATGAAGTTTATTAAAGTTGCTAAGCGTTAAGCACAGAAACTCAAAATAGCCTCAGCACACTCCCCTGGGCAGATACCCAAAATATTGGCCGAGGAGGCCTGAGCATGGCGATGGTGAGTCTGTGAGTCTGTGAGTGTGTGCTGCATACCAATCAATACATTGATAAGTCAGTCAATGGAATCCATTTCTCAAGTAACTAGCATTTGACAAGCAGAGAGCAAAGATGACCCCCCAATTAAGGTACTTACAAAGGCCATTACCCAGCAAAAATGTGGAATGTTCTCATAAGGGCACAGAAAAATAGGAACCAATATTAGAAACCACTTAACCCCCTTTTGACTCAGTTTCCTCATTGATCCCTTGGGGTCAATGGATAGCCACTTTGGAAGGATGTGGGTGCTCAAGGGGACAGCTAGCTGGTACCCAGCACAAAGCTAGGAGGTACTTAATGCGAGACGAGACCCTTCTTCCCAGGTTGCCGTGGTGCTTCAGGCCAGAAGAACAGTCTTCCTGCTCCCTGCAGGGCTGGATGGAATCTGCAGGTTAGTTCAAGCACAGTTCAGCTGTGATCAGAGACTGCCCTCACCACCCTTCTCTCCCTCACCTAAAGTCAGAAAGAAAGGGCAGCTTAGTGAGGGCTTAGTGAGTGGCTAAAACTCAGTTCAGGATTCAAATTCCAGCTTCTGGAATAAAGGAGAGTCATTGTAAAGAATCCCTGGGCTCCTGGAGGATGATGCTCGACATTGAGCAGGCTCTGCACCCTCTGGGCCATTCCACTCGCTCTCCAGAAGCTCCTTCCATACTTCACAGCTGCCCAGGTCCCCTGCAGGCTGGATGTGAGGCTGAGGGCACCTTTAAAGAGGATCCAGATCCACAAGAAAGCCCACCAGCATGAGGAGAGCTGCTGTTGCTCCCTAATCCAGCCCGCTTGTTTGGCCCGTGGTCCTGTCTGGTCAATGCTTCCAGCATAATGGGCAGCTCAGCGATGTTTGTTATTTTTTTTTAAAAGATTTATTTTATTTATACAAGAACCGGGGTACAGGCCAGACCTGCAGGAGGGTGAGAGGATTCACCAGAGAGAGAGCAGGGAATAGAACATACCCTAGGCAGAATAACCGAAATACACTGCTGACGGGAGCAACAGGTGAGACAGGAGAGGTCTGCCGCGCCATGTGGGTTGCTCCACAGCTGGCGGGGATCGAACCAGCACTGCAGAGGCTGCAGACAGCTTCACAACGCTGCGCACAGCTGCCTGCACCAACAGGGAGGCCCTAGCTCAGCGATGTTTTGAAAACCAGAGTGGACACGAGCCACACATGTTTGTCTTCTAGGCTCCTTCAAGACTCCCTTAAGGAATTTCTTGGAGCATACTATCTGGTGCATAGTAGCTGTTCAATCAAAGTTTACAAATAAGTCATGGTTAAGTGCTACCAATAATTGAACTGCTAGTATGTGCCAGGAACTGTACTCCAAGAAAATCTTAACTTTGTTATTTCATTTTAACACCACAAGTGGGATGGAGACTCAAGAGCTTATTGGAAAATAGAACAGGCTTCAGAGTTGTGATTTGAACTAATTCCCCCTTCTCCAACCCTTTATTCTAGCTGGGTGACTTCTGGAAAAGTATTTAAATTCTCTGAGCTTGGATTTCCATCTGTAAAGTGGACATAATATAGTATGTACCTCCTAGGATTGCTGTGAGGATTAGAAGAATTAGCTGGCTAACTATAATATATCATTTATGTGTGTATGTATATCTATGTATGTGTGCATATATATATCTGTATATGTATATTAAATATACAGATATTAAATATCTGTATATTTAAATTATACATATTAAATCACACAATGAAGAGTCTACAACCTAGAATATTATGTTAAAGAAACAAATGAAAAATTGTCTAACAGCCCAGAGAGGGGAATAGTACTATCCCCATTTTGCAGATGAGGAACTCTTCAGAAACAATATCCTCTGAGAGAAGTTCATTCAGTCTTTTCCATTGATGAGTTAGTACCCTCGTTTGTATCACGAGTGATCAGGAAATAGGTCTAGAACTTTAGCAAACCCCGGGATTGGGAGAATAAGTGGAGGGCACTCAGACAGGCTCACACACTACAGAGATTGGGGGTAAGCAGGGGGGAAATAGTGAAAAATCAAAAGAAATGCCACTTTTTCCCCCCTCCCATGTAGAATGCTTAAGTACAAGTCAGTGGATTTATTCCCAAGCCTACAGTATTAAGCACCTATGCTGAGAACCTGGATAGGAAAATGAAGTGCTCTGTTTGGGTTTGCCTTCCTGCTTGTCAGTTGTCGAGCTGTGTGACCATAGGAACGTCTTATAACCTTTCTGAGCATCAAGCTTCACAGGGCTACTTTGAGAATTATACACGTTAACATATACAGAGTCTGTGCTGGGCCTACATCTTATAAGCATTCAATGCATCCTCATTTTTATTTTTAATGTTGCTGGTTTTTTTTTTGTTTTTTTTAATCAATGGGACTCGTGTGGAGACCCGCTATTTATTTATTTATTTTTATTTATTTGTGGGACTCTCGTCGGCGGCCGGGGAACAAACCAGCGTCGCAGAGGCTGCGGGCAGCCTCGCAGCCCAGCGCTCAACCGCTGCGCCACCAGGGGAGGCCCTTAATGTTGCTGTTTTTATCTGCTTTATATACATAATCCAAGCTTTCAGGGAGTTAAATAGTGGGTCAGGTCATCCAAATAAAAGCAACAGGTAGCCATGGGATTCTATTCTAAACTCCAGTACCCCTGTATCCGTCAGAAACGGTTCACCTGTGCTGGGTGAGCTACAAGCCCCAAGCTTCAGCGTGTGACTCTGCTGCAGTTTCTCACTCAAACCCACTGCCGTCTGGACAACTAACCATGTGTTCACTTCACATTCCACATGGTTTTGCTCTTATCAACACAAGTACCTGAGATTTCAGTGGCACAGAGCAGGAAAGTTGGTCCAGCTTCATTAAAGTGAAATAAAATGCTTCTTCCTGAAGGGACACATATCTCTTCTACTCACACGTCACTGACCAAAACAAGTTACCCCTAATTCAGGAAAGAGAAATGAAATCCTGAGTACACAGGCATGGCACAGACATTCAGAAGAATAAGTTATCAGTGAGCCCCAGACCCCTCTCCCAAGCCAGTCTCTTAACTATCTTCGTTGCTCCGTTTTGCCTGTCTCTCTGTCAGGGCCGGCCGTCGTTCACCTTGCCCTCAGCACACAGCTAGTTCCAACACACCTTCCCTAAGTTCAGAGAAAAGCTTCGGGATTTTAAATGAACAGATTAATCAGGGACTGTGTCACAAATTCCAGCCCGGCTCCTGTCCCTTCCCTCCCTGTCAGCAGTACTCCGGGCCCGGTGACTGGCCTCCAGTGTCCTGCGTCAGCTCAGCCAAGTCTGGGGACCTCCATGCCTCCATCCCAGCCCCTCCTCGGCCCCATCCATCACCAGGACCCTGTGATCTCGCCTGTCAATGTCCAGCTCTCACTTGATGTCTCAGTTCCGGAGCAGAGATGCTCCAGCTGCTACCTGGAAAGGCTCTGGCCCCCAAAATATTTAGTTAGCAGCCATTCAGTTAAGTGGAATTGACTTTTTATCGGCTTTCCTCTGTACGGCTGCCACCAGCAAAGTCTGTTTCCTCCTTCCCTCTTCTCTGCCTGTCAGTTTGCTCCACATTCCTATTGGCAGCCTTTAGTTCTGATCAATACTAACCGCTGTGTAACAGCTCACGCACGGCTGCTCCGGTTTGCATCGATCAGACCCCTCTTCCAACAGGTAGTCAGCTATTTGAAGCAATGACTTGAGATAAACACCTACTTTTACTTCAGGCTAATTCATTTCAGGTGGATTTCAAGGAGGCTCTGCACCCCTTCTCTGTTAGACAAGCTGAAATCAGAGAGTC